TGCCTTTTCACAGCTGTCTTAGTCCACTCTTGCATTGCTATCAAGGAACATCTGAGACTGAGTAATTCATAAAGAGGTTTAGCTTGACTAATGGTTCTGCAGGGTGTACAGGAAGCCTGGCGCCAGCATTTGCTCCTAGTGAGACCTCAGGAAGCTTCCAATCATGGTGGGAGGTGAAGGAGGAGCTGGCCTCTCACATGCCAAAAGCAGGAACAAGAGAGAGAGGCGAAAGTGCCACACTCTTTTATTTATTTATGAAAGATAAGCCATTTATTGACCACTTTTCTAAAAATACAGAAATGTGAGAATAAACATATGTAAGACTCACTAGCCCCTGCAGGATAGGAAACAGCCCCAGACAGAGTGCCTATAAATGACTTTCCTTATACCTCATGCCTGAACTTTTCACACATTCTAGGATTGCATGTTCTGTTACCTACTGCAAAGGAAAGGACACTGGCTAGAAGATTCACGTACAAGCAGGTCACAACTTTAAAGCTATCTGACGCTAATGACTTGTACAATCTAGTTTGGAACTCTGAGAGATAATATCAAATAAGCACTGTTAAGTACTACTCACAGTTAACCTTTACTGTCATTGTTCTTTGAAATTGTCTTCGGGATCGGTTATGTTCTCTCAGTGTAGCTTTCGTTTATCCTAGAGCACAAACCCTAAAGTCCACGTGCAGTCTCCATGATTGAGTATAAAAGTCTGTTTCAGGAAAACCCTGGGCTGCTGCAGTGTTTCTCTCTCTGTAGCGTCTACTTGGTGTCACGCCCTTGGACAGGGGACCAAATGGCAGCACAATACAGGGAGTGACATGGTCAGCTTTCCTGCTGCCGAACTTGCTCCCCTTTCAATCTGTTCACTGCCCATGGTAAGGTTGAAATCTTTAGACCAGTGACAACCTTAGCCTATCTTCAGTCTGTGCAGTGGGGTGTTGGGGAGTGAGCTCACCCTTGATGCCGGAGCTGGACCACTCAGGTGATCCACCTGCCTCAACCTCCCAAAGTGCTGGGATTACAGGCATAAGCCACCGTGCCCGGCCTCTTTATCTGCATTTTATTTTAAATTTGAGACAGAGTTTCGGTCATCGCCCAAGCTGGAGTGAAATGGCTCCAGCTCAGCTCAAGCAACCTCAGCCTCCCAAGTAGCTGCAATTACAGGCGCCCACCACCAAGCCCAGCTAATCTTTGTATTTTTAGTAGAGATGGGGTTTCACCATGTAGGCCAGGCTGGTCTCAAACTCCTGACCTCAGGTGATCTCCTCAACTTGGCCTCCCAAAGTGCTGGAATTACAGGCATGAGCCACTGCGGCCGGCTAAGACAGTATGTTTTAAATAGTTTTTTTTTTTTTTTT